AACGATATAATTAATAATCCTAGGAGCGTAAGAAAAGGCGTCAGTGTTATTCGGATTCATGTTGTATCTACATGATGTCAGGAGTTCACAAATGTCATCTGACAGCGGATCAGGAATCCTCTGTGTCCCCTGCGTCATCGCTGACTCGTGGATCTGGTATTCCTGTTCTGCATCTTTAATATGTCCACACCTCACACAGGTACCGAGTGTGTAACACACCTTGGGAACTATTTTCAGGGCTAGCAGGAAAGGTAATGAAAACCCAAGTTTTCCCTGGTAAACTAAGATTAGGAACGCAACTGATGAGATCTGTCATAATATTCTTGTGAACGAAACGGGCTGATTGCAGACAACTCTGGACGCTGGGAAGAGGATGGATTGCCTGGGCAACGTATGCTTCTTAGGGAACTGCTATTGTCTTGAAGAATGGTATCATGTAAGTTTGGCTGTCCTCCGTCTTCATTTTTTTCAACTACCTTGTTAATTATGTGGATAAGGATGGAGGAAGCGTGCTCATCATGTTTCCTTTTAAAAGACTGAGAGAAATATGAAAATAGCATCCATAATGATTTTTGGATAGACTCTGGATGAAAGAGGTGAGCCCAGGAATGCCTGTGTGGCTCAGTCGGTTAAGCATCTGCCTTTAGTTCTGGTCATAATCCCAGGGTTCTGGGATCGAGTCCCAAATCAGACTCCCTGCCTCTGCCTGCTGCTCCCCCTGCTGGTTCCCCCTCTCTCTCTCTTCCTTTGACAGATAAATAAATAAAATCTTTTTAAAAATTAAATAAATAAAAGAGGTGAGCTCAGATAAAGTTTAATAAAGCAAATATCAACTTGTATTTGGGGGTAAACATGCTTGTAGAAGCACAGGAGTGGACTAATGAGACAGTCAAGAAGCTGATCTTTAGTTCATTAGTAGAAAGGTAGCCCATAAAGGAAAACTGCTGAAAACACCAATGTGTTCCTGTTGGAAGAGACCACGGAGAGGACGGGGCCGCCAGTAGACCCATGAGCTGGCTACAGGCAATCAGAGGCTTGTCACCCCCTCTCCTGTCCTTGGAATGTATGTTCTGTCCACTGTTCCCACAGTGGAAATCATTTTCGAGGACAGAGCCTTGAGAGAGCCACGTGGGGTTGAGACCATCTGGGTGGTGTACGTGACCGACCACAGTTAAGGGCTCTATATCAACACTTAAGATTCTAGCCAATGGGTGGGAAGATCTGTGTGTCTTGAGACTGCCTGAGACAAGCCTTATAAGTAAGTTCTTTTACTTATCACACCTGCTGCCTACCAACCTGGAGTGGCCTGCCTCTATCTCGGGCTCCCCTTGCCCTCTGTGTTTGGGTGCCATTTTATGAAACAAAAGTTCCATGAGCATCAGACCACACCTTCTTTATGGTCTCATTTGTGCATCTCACACTTGACAGAAGCATCTGTACCAGATACAGCAAAAGCACTACAGTGTCAAAGTCTTGAAGTTACACACGTGAGGAAGAGATGATGGGAATGAGCGTATTTATCTTGAGAAGTGTAGAATTATCTGGGGTGTGTGTAGACAGGTGGTGGGACAGGGAAACATACACTTTATATCTTGAAATAGTTTAAGCAAGGCTCATGCCCGGGATACTATTTTACATGACCTCCAGGAGCAGATTTGAAGCCAAAGGCTGAGAACATCAGTGCCGCTCTCGGAGACAGATGTGTTCCCCTTAATTTTTGTTTTCTTCTGGGTTTCCCAAATCATCATGTGTGCTGTACATCATCAAAAAAATTAATCTTGGACCATACACCTTTTAAAAAAAATCCCTTGAACCCTGCGATTCTGTGATTTTGTGGTATGAGGACTCGAGGACTATGTTCAAAGACTAGAATGTTTTCAGTCCCTTTGAACTTGAGTCCAAATGCGGGAAGTCCTCCCACCCAGCTCAGACACCCTCCACTGCCATCCAAACCACTGCCTTTTCTCCAGCGCTGCCCCGAGGTCTGAAAGGTCAGAGAGAAACTCAGGAACTTCCAGGCAGAAATTGGGCTCTGTGTGTGCCCTCACTAGGATGCACGTTCTTGAGGTTTTCGCACTCTGGGAGAGAGGAAAAGTAGGCCCCGCCAAGGCATTTAGTACTTCGGCAGAAAAAGGAAAACAAAAGTTTGCTAAAAGGGGGAAAAAAAATTTAAGCTATTCTTTTTATTTTGACAGAGTTTCTGTGGGTCCAAGACTTTCTACTGAGTCACCAAGCCAGCCACGATAGAGCTGGTTCAACTTACTAGGAGTATTATTTCTGAGTCACAGTAAATAACATAACAAAAGTGTTTTCTGTCACCTAGTACATCCGATCTCTACTTCATAGCTGCACTCTCGGTAACGATGATAGTCCTCGTTGCACACCACACTGTATGAAAATACCACAGGGTCAAATAAGTGTTCTAATTCATGGAAGAAAGGTTCAAACATCACGTCCCTATTTCACAATGATTCTTTTCTTCCCCCTCAGAAAATACACAAAAAGTAAGTAAGACATGACTCATTTGTTACAAGTCCCATGTTTTCTCTGCAAATTCCTAGTCAGGCTTTGGAGTTGATGCTTCCCTTCCACTATTCCCATAGTCTCTGAGTCACCAAGGTTTTTAGATGTTGGCAGGAGAGCCTGTTCCTATGTTCTCATAGGGTTCCACGTGGCTGGGAAGGAATATCGCGCTGGAAGTTGAACCAGGAATGAGTATAAAACCCTTAGATCTAGGTCTCCATGGCCCCAGCCCCGGGCCCTGCGCTTTACAAGGCTTCTCAAATTAGGAGGTGCAAATGGATTTCTTAGGATATTGTTAAAGGCACCCTGTAAATTCAGTAGGTCTGGGGTTGGGTCTGAGAACTTGCATTTTTCTAACAGCTTCTGATTCTCCTCCAGACCATGCCTCCTCCCCACAGGAGGACTAGTTCACGTGACCCAGGCAACTTGACAACCCAGAGCCCACGTCACTCACTCCTAACTGTACTCGGAGTATCTGGGACTCCAGAATTCCCTGTCTAGACCACTTTCTGGCCAGTGCACACCCTTCCCCGGTCTGTCCTCCCAATGGCAGATCTCCTCAACAGCACGTACACACCTGGATTTATGGGTTGACAAAGGGTCAGACATTTGGACGAGGCTTAGCTATGTGGGCTAGCGTGTGGCCCAGGCCCCCCTTGGTACAGATGAAGATTGGGGAAGCAGGAGGAAAGGGGTGGGCTCTGTACAGAGGAAATTCTTTGTCTCCTTGCCTCAGAAGGCAAATGCTGGGGGTAGTCCTTTGTCTGTGTACGTAGCAGGAAGAAATCCCATTCTGTTACAGCTTATCTGGATGTTAAAACTACAGACCTGCAGCTTGGATGACTCTAGTTGGTGAGGAGCTATTGTATGTAAAGTGCTTAGAGGAAAGAAAGAACATTTTCTACCCTTTCATGCAACCCTCCACAACCCTCCCTGGGTGACCACACAGTGTAAGAGATAGTGTATGGGGCTTTGAGGGTCCCACAGCCTTCAGCTGAACCCCCACTGTAACTTCCTGCATGAATCTGAGCAAGGCGGTCACTTTTGAGCAAGAGGTCATTCTTTGTCCTTGGTTTCTTGATCTTCGTTATGGGAATAAGAAGGTTTTCTTACTCTCTTCCACCTCTTCTGCATATCCACCTGAATTACTCCTCTTCGTTCCTCCTCCTTTAGCTCAAATGCCACCATCTTGAGTAGATCAGGCATCTCCAGCTAATCTGAAAGTAACCGCCTTCCTCTTTCTTTGCACTTTGTCCTTCTGTATTTGTGTTTTTGATGAATGTCCACTGCCCCCCTTGCTCCCACGAGCAGGGATCATGTCTCTTGAATTCTCCAGTTGTGTCCTCTCTATCTGGCACACAGCCTGGCCCCTGATAGATGCTAAACTTGGGTTTGCCAAATGAGCCAATGACTGTGTGGTTATTGTTAAAATCAGAGAAAAATATACTAAGTGACTGGCACAGAGTGGGTTCTTAATCAGTGACACTGATGTTTTTTTAATGCAGTCAACACCATGATCAGACATTTTTTATTTTGTTTCTTCATATTTTGTTCATGGGGGAGAATGGGGTGAATCTGGGACAATTACAATTTGAACCATCCAAGACAAGAAGAAAAAAATGTGGTGTGATAAACTCCAGGCCCAAACAGCCAGGAGCATGACACACTTTTTAAAGGCTTAGGAAGTGAAAAATCCATCATTTAAAACAGAGAATAAAAAGTACAAGAAAAAAGTTGCATTTGTTCGTTGTGCTTCCCCTGCCACAACTCATACCGCAAGTAGTACACCTGCTTAAAATAAGCCTCTGGGGGAGGGGAGGTATGGAGAGGTGGCTGGGTTATGGACCCTGGGGAGGTTATGTGCTATGGTGAGTGCTAGGAAGTGTGTAAACCTGACGATTCACACACCTGTAGCCCTGGGGCGAATAATACATTATATGTTAATAAAAATAATAAAATAAGCCTCTGAGGAAAGTAATTCCCCCACCCGAGTGCTCACGCTGATATTGTCACCAGCGGTCCCCTTCCCCTTGATATCTAGTGGACGACTTTATCTGTCTCTTTAATATCAATCAGCCCAAATAGTCCCTTGTCAAATATTTTTCTGGGGCCTGCACTTGAAGAAAGAGACGATTTTCCCAAATCTGTGAACAGGACATTTTTTTTTTTTTTTTTAATGTCAAAATAAACCATCTGCTTGTACAACTGTTTCTAATTACTTCCCTGCCTAGACTCCGCACTTGAGGGTTTGGTACCAGCACCCCGCCCAGAGCGGTGCTGCTGCCCAAATCCTCGCCAGAAGCTCATCAAGGCGCTCCCGGCTCCCTGTAGAGGCCCGACCTGCACGCGGTGGTGTCTGTGTGTCTGTCTGCAGGCAGCCTGCGGGTGGCACCTCTCCCTGCCGCGCCCTCCCCCCTCCCCACCGGGAGTCCCACCCAGCAGGAGCCCAGCTCGCCTGCGTGGCCCGGGAGCTCAGCATGTGTCCCGCAGCCTTCAGCAACTTCTTGCTGCTCGTGTCCTCCCTTCTCTTCGCGGGGCTGTCAGCTGTTCCTCAGAGCTTCTCGCCATCTCTGAGGTAAGTTTGGTTTGTTATTCTTCGAGAGGAACCTGCCCTGCTTTGCGTGGCGGGGCTCAAGTTTGCAGGATGGCTGCCCCGAGCCAAGAGCAGTTAGAAAGTTGGATCCGGGATAAACTGTTTCCAACCTGTTCCTATTCCTTTCCGTGGGTGTTATTTCGTGTCTGTCCTTTTATTTATTTATTTTTTGTCCTTTTCCGTGTTTGTCCTTTTCCTTTGGAAAAATACCGTGAATAAATGTAAAAATATATTTATACGTATAAGATATATAAATATATTTCCTCCTATTTTACTACCTACCAGGAGAAACTTCTGCTCCCAGACTAAGGTAATCCCCTGTGTACCCGGGTGTGCTCATCCCTTATAAAGCAGAATTGTTTCACAGGGTCTGTATTAAATTACTGTATTGCATTTTGAAAGAGACTTTGAGACGCATAATGATAGCCAAACTTTTTTAAAGTATAGTTTAAAAACTGCTTCGTGCAACTTAAAAAAAATATGCCCTAGACTAGCATAACCTGTATAGTTCTTCCTACATATTCACCTCTTCTTGTCATAAAACGGATGCCCTTGGCCAGCAGCTAGCAATGGGACTTTTTTAGAGTACTGAAAAGTCAGCCAAATGTCATCCTTTGCATTCATTTGCATCTAATCTAAATATGCATATAAGATTCAGTAGCAAGACACCAAGAGGCAGGGGCTGATCTCCTCTGTCCACCAGGAAGGCGGTCCTATTCCTAGGGGTGCATTTTGGGTGTTTGTCATTTCTCTTGGCGTGATCCATGGGTGGCCCCCAGAGAAAGGTGGAACCTCAAACTTCCTTCCTGTGAAGTTGAACGTCGCCATACGAGTGGGCACTGGGGGGGAAACAGGCGCTCAGAGTCAATGGGGGCAGTGTCTGCTCCTGACCGTGGCCCCGCTGTGGTTTGCCGCCCTTGCAGGAGCGGGACTGGTGCCGCGTGCAGGCTGACCCGGGCTGAGTCGGAGCGCCGCTGCCGGGCGCCCAGGCAGCCCCCAGGGGGCGCTCTGTGTCACGGCCGCGGCCGGTGCGACTGCGGGGTCTGCATTTGCCACGTGTCGGAGCCCGGCGTGTACTTCGGGCCCCTGTGTGAGTGCCACGACTGGGTGTGCGAGACCTACGACGGGAGCATCTGCGCAGGTAAGGGGCAGCCGGTGCACCGCGGGCGCGGGGGGCGCACTCTCCGCGGGGGCTTCTGCCCCTTCCCGGGGAGAGCCTCAGAGGGTCTTTGGAAAGTGACTTTGGGAAGTGACGACCCTCCCCCAAATCTTCCTAGCGCTCCTCCACTCTGGAATCACGTGTTGCAATACTTTTCTCAGGCCTGGCGTCCAAACTTCGGTGGAAATAATATTGTTAATATTCACTCACTTAATTATAACTCTCCTTATGACAGATTAAACCTCCCACCTTCCTCACAAGGGGAGCCAGTCTGGTGGGCTCCTCTAGCCGGATCACGAATGTTAACCATATTCGCAGAACGTAAGCCTGTATTTTCTTTTTACCAAGGAAAAGCGGGAGAATATTGTTTCCCCAAATTCCGGGGGGGCGCAGGTTGTGTCTTTGAACTCTGATTTGCCTTCTTATGCTTAGGATTCGTTTCACAGAGAGAAGTGCATGTCAGAAAACGGTAACAGGGAAAAAATAACCAAGCAATTCAGACTTAGAAAGAAGTGATTGCTTTTTGGTTTGGTTTAGTGGCTTGAATTTTTCGGCTGCCGTGAAACTTGGTATTTTGGAAGGTTGGAGTAAACATAAATTCATTTCTCTGGTACATTTTAAAGGAGTGATTCAGGTTGTGATACTGGAATGGGTCAAGATAAATTTCTTGGTAGAAACACCCCTCGCCTGTACCAGTTTCACACGGACGCGCCGCTTACCTGAGTCCGGAGCCTCGGTTGGGTCACTGGGAATGATCCAGGCGCTCCTTTGGTCAAAGGACGACACGATGCATTCCAACCAGGGTTTGGCAAATTTGAAGGGGGGAAGAAAATCACAACTTATTTTACCCACAATGTCTTTAAGCATGAGAGTCCAACACTAACAGAGGAAGAAGGAGTTTGTAGCAAAATGGTTTTTTATTGTCCCCTGGGCCCAGAGATGTCTAGTGAGAATCTTTAATATGCACACCGCTTGGCAGTGCAAAGTGGTCATGTCAGTAATTTGGAAGAGCACAGGTGCTTCTCTGTGGTTTGTTTCCCCTTACAGGCTGGGGCTCAACCCTTCAAAAATACTGAAAATCCACAGCTCCTAATTTTAATGTTGTCTGTCCCCCAGGCTGCAGTATTATTAAGGGCAGCCCTTTGGAATGAAAGCTAAGTATTGTCTAATATTTCATTCCAAATTTGACTGTTACCCGGCTTCTCTGGCATGTACTGCCTCTGGCAAGGTCTCTTCAATATCATGAGTTCCAAATGCATTTTTTCAAGGCATTTTTTTTTTTTTTTTTTGAATTGTTCTTTCATTGGAAAGGTAAGAGGTAAGACGCAGTGTTCAGGTGATGAAACTAGTTATGGGTGCCATCAGGTAAAATGTCCCTATTGAAGAAGTGTCTCCGGTTCCTTTCTGGAAAGTTCTGCAGAGAGAATGCTGTGGCCTCTGGTGCCCTTGTTGATCTCCCATGGAAAGTGATTTATTGTTTACCCCTAACTTCTGAGTCACTGCATTCTTTCCTCCCAGATACAAATGCAGCCCTGAGTCATGCATGGTTTTGTTTGCATATGTACACATTCCCCACGGAAGGCAAAATGTTTCTCTTTATTTCAAGGCTGAATGAAATAACTTTGTGCCTTTCCCATTCTCCGATTTGTGACTGATGCCCGTTGAGGGCTGCTCCCCACGGGCCTCGTGCAGGACCTGCCCCTGCAAAAGCTCTGAGGACGTTTGCCAGGCGGGTGAGATCTTCTCACACAGCATGCCTTCTGGCTGCCTCCCCAACATGCCAGCTTGTACCGTGCTTCCAATGTGGCTTCTCTATTCCGTCTTCAGGAACAAGTTCCTCTGTTGCCCCTAGGAAGAGAGAGACATAGCAAGTTGTCTTTCATGTTTTTATGTGCACCTGTGCCTTTACCTCCATGGGGTTTTCTAGAAATAGAGTAGCTTTTGTAGACCTCCCCACCCCTTTGAGGAAAATAAAATCCTGTTCTGATAGGGTGGCCTAGAATGACTCATACTCTGGGCTCTGGGGGAGAATTTCCGGGAGTCACATCCCAGCCCCACCAAGTAACAGCTGTGTGAGCTTGGGCAATTACTTCAACTTTCTGAGCCTTGATGTCTTCATCTGTAAAATAGGAATAACAACAATACCTCCCTTACAGGATGGTTGTGAGCTCTGACACATGTAAAACTCTTAGAATGGTGTTTTGCACAGAGTGCTCACTATGTATAAATATGTGTCTAGGCATATAACAATATTATATATAATATATATAACAATATTATATATATTATATATGTATGTATATTATATTATATTATATTATCACAAAGGTGAGCTAGGATGGATGGATGGGTGGATAGCTAGATGGATGGGGAGATAGATAGATAGCCCAGCTTTGTATTTATTGGACATTGGATGCCGTGGGAGCAATTTAGTTTTCTTAATGTAGCCTGGCCTGTTACTGATCCAAAGCTCAAAAGGTCAAGCAAGGATAGTCATTTTGGCCCAGCCTCAGAGCAGCTGTATTAGATACACTTTGAAAGTCATGTCTGCTGGGATTCTTATGTTGTCAATCATAAGAAAGATACTTATTTTCGTTTGAGCCTAGTTGAAAGTGATTACATTTATATTAATGTATAACTAATGTATAATCCGGTGTCCACTTGTAAATGGCACATGAATCTTCCTTGGACTGCTAAAGGTCCGACCCAGAGATTATTCCTGTGCCGGGGGAGGTCAGAGGAGAAGTAAACTAATTTGGGTGGACTATTTCTTCGAGAAGAGTAAAAGGTTTGGTTACATAAGAAGACTTTCAGCTAATATTTCAAGGCATCCCTGAATAACCATTTGAACAGGTCTGATTAAACTTAAATAAAATATTGTGTTTTTTAAAAATCTTTTCTAGGGGCATCTGGGTGGCTCAGTGGGTTAATCCTCTGCCTGGGTCCTGGGATCGAGCCCCCCATCTGGCTCTCTGCTTGTCAGGGAGCCTGCTTCCCTCTCCCCCTCTCTCTCTGCCGGCTGCTCTGCCTACTTGTGATCTCTCTCCCTCTGTCAAATAAATAAATAAAATCTTAAAAAAAAATCTTTTCTAATCACTTTTGAAATATTTCGCTTAAAAGAGTTTCAATTTTAGTGACCAGGAAGAGCTAATTGAATTGAACTTAGCCAGTACTTATGAGGTGCTGTACATTTTACTAGACCCTCTGCTGTTGAAAGGGATAGAAAGATGAGGACAATATGACAACTTCCCATTGAGTAGGGAGATGAAATACCAAATACCCATAATGCAATGCAGATTATAATTTCTACAAATGTCTATGAGAGTTTCATTGAGCAAGAATTAAATACTGTGGCTAAAGTCCTTGAGAAAGAGGTAACCTTTGACATAAATCTTTGTGCTCATGCATCTCTGAGGGCCCTTAGTCTTCCTACCATATCCATCTTTCTGTGCAGCGCAGGAACGTTACGGCGTATGAATGGCAAGAGAGAGCCATGCCAGCCCCCGTTAGTACCTGGCTCTTCTTACACTTCATCCAGGATGCAAGTACTGAGTCTTTTCCTTCCTTCCAGAACTCATCTTCGTGGTCTAATTTCCCTGCCCCCAGTCTTTCCCACACCACTGCTGATAAGGAACTCCAGGCTTCTGGGCCGCATCTTAAAAGAGTGACTGATTGCCTCCCAGTTGCCTACTTTCAATGCTTGACATGATCACTTGCCAACTCTGGAGTTCTGGGCAAGGTACTCAAATTTTTGCCACTCCTGTTTCCTTATTTATGAAATGGGGGTTATAATATTATCAATGGGATCAATAATTATGATAAAACACATAAGTGATTAGTGAGTCATTGAAGTTACATGCTTACTTATGTCAAAGGCCTCTCTTCTACCCTAGCTTGATACTTGGTCCTAAAATATTAACTCCCAGAGAAATGGTTTTCTTTCCACATTATATCTTCCTCTGGGTTTAAGCTTAGTTCACCTTTCCTCCTTTGATTATCAGTGAGTTTTTGGAACCATCTCCCTGCAGACATCATGCCTTCTCCATAATGTCGAGGCTGGAGAGCTTTTTGCTCTGGCCATCTCAAGCCTGAGACTCACTGGGTCATGTTCCAGCTTGCGGGATGTCTAAGATTCTGATCCTGGTTTCTGTCTTCATCTCAGGAACTTGACTTTTGTGTTCTTGTCCCTGAAATCCTCACTCTGATTTATGGTTCTAGAGTCATGCCCTAAATATTGTGTGAAATGTTTGAATCTGGCATTTTTAGTCATTTTCTTTACTGAAAACCCTAAGATTTTTGCACATTTGCAGAGTTTACACTCAGCGCCTGGCTCCTGCTGATTCTTGCCCCCCCTCCCCAAGATGTCTGTATTTCCTGGCTGTTCATCTCCTCCAAAGCTTTGTTCTCACGTGGTTTGATCCCAGAACCCACTCCTTCAACTTACAAGAATACGAAAAGCAGCACAGTACCAAACAAAATCAAAACAGCTCACCTTTGCAGAGTTTTTGAGTTCTGTGAACATTACTGAATGTCCTGGAGACACCAGAGATGGGGTAGTTTAATCACAGATGTGTAAACAACATCAGATTGAATAGTAATCATTCTGGTTCTTAAATCTCCCAGTTTTTTCAACCACGCCTCCTTCTTAGAGCTAAGGGTAGACATGTGATGGAATTCTGGCTTGAAGAGTTGTAAGTGGAGGTGTTGTAGGGGAACTCAAAGGGAGCTGACTTGCGGGGAGGTATTTGTTTTGCCCATCCACCCTCCTTCCTTCCTAGAATGGACCTCGTGCCAATAGCCCATTTGGATCCAGAGATGAACATGGCGGCCACCTATGGGGATGGCGGGAACCCCGGCTTTCAGGGAGGCCATGGAGCTGACACATCAGTCCTGGATTGCCTGTCTCTGGACGGTTTTTGCACATAAAAATAATAAACTTTTGTTGAAGTCCCTGTCACCTGCCTTACTCGCTGTGGGGACTC